GCGGGAGAAAGATGAGGCTTTCTGCTCCCGTAAAGATTTACAGCCTCGGAAACCCTGTACAGGGTCGCTATGAGTCGGCACCGACTCCAGTGCAGTTTCTTTTCAAGTGCCTTGAGTCAGTCGGTGACCCTGTATAGGGTTTCCAAGGAACAGCTGGTGAGCTTGAACTGCTGATCTTGGGGATCAAACCGACCTTGAGGTCAAGTGCTTATCCTAAGGTGCCACACCGGGACTCGGTGCGACACCAGGACTTAAGATGCTTTTTAAAAACAGTGGCTTTGAGGCGATCTGCTGGGTCAGTTAAATCCAACACAGAGAAATCATCAGCCTAGGTTATTGCAACTATATTTTTAGAATGTCAAAGGGCAGATTTCCTCCAAAGACACAGAACGACCACTAGACTTACTAGGAAGTTTTACAGAAATTGAAAACTGCATCGGTGAGCAACAGGTCAGGAAAGTTGCATGCCAAGGAATTATTTTCCAACACAACAATGCACCTGCTCATTTTTCAAGGGTAGCAAGGGCTGTATTAGGAAAATTTCACAGAGAAACTTTACCCCATCCACCTTGTAGTGCTTGGCTTGGCTTGGCTCCTTCAGACGTTTTTGGTCCCCAAACTCAACCGTTTAAAAGGAGCACACCTAAGGAGGTCTAAACTGCCATATGAATATGGTATAAATCGCAGAACACAAAGAGGGGGGAAGCACCACCTTCAGGAATATATGCATTTTAAGGCATCCTATGAAGTCCTCCGTGACTCCCAGCAACTGATGAAGGTACTTCTTTCTCCATCACACTTGCATCATAGTCATTGTCTTCCTTTTGACCTGGTCTCCATGAGGAACATTATTTTCTCATCTTTATAACGTCCACCCAAAGCTGTCAAGTTGATTCCAACATAGAGCAACCCTATAGGGCAAAGTTAACATGTTCCAGTGTCTTGACAGCCTCATCTTTCTCCTGCAGAGTGACAGGTGGGTTTGAACTACCAACTTTGAGGATAGCAGCCAATGTGTAACCCACTATGCCACAGTGCCCCTTTTTCTATCCTCAGACCAGAGCAGATAAGTGTGATTGTGATGGTCATGAAAGAAAAACTTAAAAAAAGTAATTTATCAATAGTACAGGAGTCTGTCTGCTCCTATACAGTGTTGCTGAGTGGGAACCGATTCAAGGGCAGTAACAGTGGACAGTGCTAATGCTGAACAATTAAATGATGACCCACTGTGCACCAGATGTTTCAGTGTTGTATAGTCTGCTCACCTGACAGTTCTCGGTTACTTTTTGGGGGAATTTTTCCATCTAAATTTGACTAAAGATATCAAATTGTTGGTATTAGCCAATGTATAATAGTTTTCATATTTAATATCAAAACAAGTTTTGTTTATAGCTCTCAGTGTTATACACTTGGCAGTTTGGTATATATGCTCAAGGTGAAAAACGTACCCTTGTTTGAAACTTGCATATTCAAGAGGATCACAGTAACATTCAATTTTATAGGCTCAGCTTTGTGTAATCATTAAAATTTTGAATGGAGCTTTGATTCCTCCTATCTTATTTTGGTAAGAGATGACTGATTGACATTAAGGATCATGAGGGTTGTTTAACTTATCAGGAATGATCACTATTAACTTAAGTAATTGATTCCTTAGTAGTAAAATGTCCAGAAGACAGCATGTTTTAAGACCCCAAGGCAACCATACAGGCTTGTCAGAGGAACGATAAGGTCAAGGTTCATAGGGAACAAAGGAAAGAATGAGATGTAAAATAAAGGGCAAGGAGCACAGGGGCAGATAAGGCTTTCATAGAAATGGAAAGGTGTATAGCTGGAGGCCATGACAAGTTTTAAAAGAATAATAGATATTTTTTAAAACAGAAATCAAAACCATTTAAGAGACTGACAGTGATGATGGCTTGGTAGTACTGACAGAAAACAGCCATGGAGATGACAAGTAATTTGGTTAAGGATGTAATGTGAAAGCTTTGGTGAAAGAAATTAAGAAAACAAGGATGACTTCTTGGATTTTTAGCAAAAACCTGGTTGAGATCATTTTATCATTTACTATGGGTTATGCGTCAGGCTGCTAACCTCATGGTCAGCAGTTCCACGGGAGAAAGATAAGGCTTTCTGCTCCTGTAAAGATTTACAGCCTCGGAAACCATATGCTGTGTGGTACACGACTCCACAGCACACCACCACCACCTGCTGTGGCAGTACTGGTTAATGTGCTGGACTACAAGGTCAGCAATTCAAGTTCACCAGTCACTCCTCGGAAACCCTATACAGGGTCGCTATGAGTCGGAATCAACTCAACTGCACTTAACCATAAAACGTAACACAAATCTATTATAAAAAGTTAAAATATAGCAAAACTTACAGAGCTCTGGTAGCGTAGTGGTTACGAATCGGGCTGCAAACCACAAGGTCAGCAGTTCGAAACTACCAGCTTTTCCGCGGGAGAAAGATGAGGCTTTCTGCTCCTGTAAATATTTACAGCCTTGGAAACCCTATACAGGGTTACTATGAGTCGGAATCGACTCCACGGCACACAACAACAAAACAAAACTTAAGCACACACAAACAAAACAGCACCATTCACAGTTGACAGAATGTAAACAAAGATGCTAGGAGCTTGTTGCAATACTTAAACTCATGTGACACTAATCGACTAGTGAGCAGTTCATCTCTGTTCTTGTTGATAGGTGCCATCAGGTTGGTACCTGACTCACAGTCGTGACCCTCTGCACAACAGAATGAAACACTGCCCGGTTCTGGGCCAACCTCACGGTTGTTAACATGCTTAACCCCATTGATGCTGCCACTGTGCCAGTGTTCTTCTCACTGGGGGTCTTCGTCTTTCGCTGACTGTCCATGGTCAACTCTACTTTGAGGAGGCAGCTCTTCCCCAGCTGCATTTTGAGTGCTTTCCAACCTGAGGCACTCATTTTCCAGCACCATACATAACAGTGTTTCTCTGCTACTTGTAAGGTTTTCAATAACTAAACATTCGCAAGTAGTTTATCACTCCTTTTTCCTACTCTGTCTTCGTCTGAAAACATCTTAAACCTGTCCACCATGGGTGATCCTGTTGGTATTTAAAATACCCATGGCATAGCTTCCAGAATCACAGCAACTCACAAGCCACCACACTATGACAAACTGACAGATGAGTGGTGGTATTCATCTCTAGTATCAGTGAATTGGTTTTTTTTTTTTCCCCCAGTAAAAACTGATCTCTTGGTGGTACTTAAATGTTTTTTTCATCATGTTTATTGGAATACTGTGGTGGTGATTGGTTATGTGCTGTGGAGTCTGTTCCAACTTGAGTGACCCTGTGTGGGGTTTCCAAGGCTATCAGTCATTACGGAAGCAGACTCATTTTTCTCCCAAGGGATTTTGAACTGCTGACCTTGAGGTTAGCAGCCTGATTTGTAACCTCTATACTACCAAATCTTAGATAATACCATGGAGCCCATATGAAATACCACTGATGATGCCGAAGTACTCCCAAAAAGTGCAGAAAAGTTTACAAGAAAAAGTTAAGTTGCTTGATATGTACTGTCAGTTGAAGTCTACAGCTGCATTAATTAATTTCAAAATTAATCCAGTAAAAGACCATTGTAAAAAAAAAAGGAAATTTGTATAGTCACTGCATAATCCCAGCGGGTACAAAAATCTTGCACTTTTTGTGAATTACCTTTTTTCCTGTATTGGAAATGCAGCTTTTATGTGCGTGTAAGGAGCTCTAGTAGTGTAGTGGTTACGAATCTGGCTGTGAACTGCAAGGTCAGCAGTTCGAAACTACCAGCTGTTCTGCAGGAGAAACATGAGGCTTCCTGCTCCGGTAAAGATTTACAGGCTCAGAAACCCTGTAGAGGGGCTCTGTGAGTCGTTAACAGACTCCACGGCACATAACAAGATTGCTGTAAGGCATACCTAAAATCTTTAATATAATTGAAGAAAAAGTGATGTGGTTGTATGACAACTAAAAAGGAATGTGAAAGATCTAAAGTTGGAGAATTTAATGCTAGCAAATGATGGTTTGAGTATGTTCAAGAGAGGTCTGGCTAAAATATGAAGACAGCAGGAGAAGCCACTGCTGCTAACCTAGAGGCAGCAGGTTAAGTTCTCAGATGCCATTAAGAAAATCACTGAGAAAGGATTTTCTGCCTGAACAGGTTTTTAAGGTGAACAAAAGTGCCCTATTCTGGAATGGGATGGGGGACATTTATTATGACAAAAAGAAGCGAGCACATGGCTTTAAGGCAGACCAGGGATAGGCTAATATTCAACTGTTTGGGGCAAATGCAGTCAGGATTATAATCAAAACTGCCCTTTATCCATAAAGTTCTAGCTCCCTGAGCCTTTAAAAAACAAAAAACACACGACCTACCAGTGTTTCCCTGGTGTGGCGCTGTGGGTTAATGTGCCAGACTGCAAAGCCATTTGAACTGACGGGTTGGCAGTTCAAGCTCACCAGCCGCTCCTCAAAAACCCTATACAGGGGTCACTATTGGTCAGAACTGACTCGACGGTGCTTTAAGAATACCACCAGTGTTTTGGGAGTCCTGGCATAGCGCTATAGGATAAGCTCTGGACCACAAGGTTGGTTTTAACCACGAAGTCGATAGTTCAAATTCACCAGCCATTCCTTGGAAACCCTACATAAGGGTCGTTATGAGTCAGAAATTACTCCATGGCAAGTAACAACCAGTGTTTTGGTTACACAAGAAGACTTACAGTGAAAACCCTTTTCCTGGATTGATTCCATCAGTGCTTTGCCCTGAAATCAGGAAATACCTTGCCAGTAAGAGACTGCCATTTACAATTTTTTATTATTGCTCAAACCAAGGATGTCGGAAGTGGCCTAGTCTTCTCCAAAGATGTTGGAAGTGGCTCCCAAACACAACATCTCTAGTTCACCTTCTACACCAGGGAGTCTAAGGATCTTTAAGGCTCCTTACACATAAAACTATTGTCAATGCTAAAAGAACCCCAATAGAACTTCCTGAAAGTCTGGAAAGATCACAATACTTAAAAGCCATCATTAGAAAAAAAGCCATGGAAATCAAAACCGTAAACAAATTCCTGCTGAAGAAAACTGTCCAAACTTTGGACGTGATTTAAGACAAAGTCAGTCAAGGAAATCATGAGACTGTTGAATATGGCCAAAAAAGGTGAAACGTTTCAAATATGGACCTTGGAAAAATTTGACACACCAGAGGAATAAACAGAAGACAACTTGATGGAGATGAATGCTTCTGAACCAGTACCAGATGAGGAAGACAATATAGAACTGGTGCCAGAAAACATTCACATGGCAGAAGGGTTCTGATTATTCAAGACTGCTTTTGACTTCTTTTACAACATGGTTCTTTCTATGTACAGGCACTATGTACATTTCTATGAAATGGAAGCAAACAGTGGAAGGACTGGTACACCATGTAGAAACATTTTGAGAAATAAAAAAGCAAAAGTCAGACAGCAACCCGTCAGTATTTACAACTCCTTAGGAGACAGCACTGGGCTCCTGGTATAGTGACGTAGGATCTGCCCTGGACTACAAATCACAAGGTTGATAATTCAAACCCACCAGCTGCTCCTCAGAAACTATACAGGGCCTTTACAAATCAGAACTACTTTCAAGGCACTTAACAATAGGAGACTCTGGTACTGGTAGCGTAGTGGTTACCAGTCGGGCTGCCAACCTCAAGGTCAGCAGTTTGAAACGACCAGCGGTTCTGCGGGAAAAAGATGAGGCATTCTGCTCTTGTAAAGACTTACAGCCTTGGAAACCCTGTACAGGGTCGCTATGAGTCGGAACCAACTCCACAGTACTTATAGAAGACATCAACAAAGGAACCAGAAATGGCCTGTGTGGTGGGAAGGAAATCAGATGGCCTTATATCTTGTATTTGGAAGCCAAGTATTTCAAAAACAAGGGATTAACGTCAAATGTGCTATACATGGTTTTTGCAAAATAAGTGTCTTTTAGTGTGGCATCATAGGTTAACCACCAGACTGCTAATCAGAAGGTCAACAGCTCAAGCCCCACTAGCTGCACCTCAGTAACCCAACAGCACTTAACATGAACAGTTTTAGTGGAGTCCAGGAAATCACCTCATTGAAGTGAGTTCAGGGGAGCAGGAGGTGTGTGCATGGTGAAGCACACATAGGTAATGTAAGTAGTCTGTGAAAGGAAATCGAAAAATGGGAGTGGGGGTGAGAGGTTTTTTTTTTGTTTTGATAGTATGCGTAAGGGCCTAATACAAGAAAAACATTGCAAATAAAAGGGATTATCAAAGCAAAAGTTCTTCAGTGGGCAAGAATTGACATCCAGGGCACAAGTGATGGTGGGATTAGCTTTACATAGCAAAAGTACCAGTTCCTCTTTTCAACAAGAGGAAAAGACAGATATGGGCACTGATTTAACCATGGAAAATGAAGTGGCTCTTGTCAGTTAAGTGCTGTCAGTCAGTTCAGTTCCAATTCTGACCCCTATTGTGTTTCAGAGCAGTTGATGGTTATTAACCAGACCTTGAGGTTAGCAGTCCGGTGCTTATCCTACAGCACACATTCCCTCTAGCTTGTCAGGTGCCATGGAGTGGGTTCTCACTCAGCGACCCAGTATAGGGTTCCTGAGGAGCAGCTGGTTGAACTGCTAATCCTTTTGGCCCTACTGGGCCACTGGACCTCTTCCAGTTTAACTATTAGTTTGAACTATTAGTCTGGTTAACTTGGGTTAATATCTGAATTTGGCTCCCCAGCACTATATTAAGATTTGATAACACTGCTTTTACTAAGATTTAAAAAGAAAATGTCTACCAGGAAAAAAAAAGCCAAAGGACAGATTTTCTTTAAGGGCTTAAATTTTTAATGGCAAAATTCTACCCTATCCAGATAAGCAGTGACACTAAAGATGGAGACAGAGATGAGTGATAGAGCAGCTGAGGACTCTAGATTCATGGAAAGAGAAAGGCTGTGTGTTGGCGGGCAAGAGGCAGGCTTGTAGAATGTGCCCTTAGGTTGTTTAAATGATTATTATTCCTGTGTCCTTCCGTACATCAAAAACAAAAAACCAGGGAATAGAAACAAATACTGTTGAACGATGATGCATGGAGGGGATTGTAATCATTGCAGTGAAACAAAATACAATAGGACGAGTGTAAAACTGATGTTCTCCCATGTAAATTCACAATAAAAGCTTTTTTTAAAAAAAGTAAATTCTACACTTTTCATGGAACAAAACAAGTCTCATAGGATTCTTGGGTAAGTGGGGAGGGATTTAAAAACAAAAAACAGTACTTGACATGCTGTGGCCACCCCTTGTAGGTGCTATAACCACTAATTTAGTGTAATCACTGGGCCAGTGTCAGTTGATGCAAGGTCAGCAGTTCAAATTCACCAGCAGCTCCTTAGAAATCCTACATAATGACACTTAACATCCATTCTGCTTAGGTCTTCATTCCCCAACAATAACAAGTGTAGTGTACCCTGTGGTTCAGAGACCTGATAGAATGGATAAAGTGTCACCATTCTTGGCACCCACACACTCTTGGGAAATATATTGGTTTATTCCTAGAATGGCAAACAGAACCCAGTATTCCCTATAGATTGTATTCCCATGGGCTTTAAAACCAGTGAAATGAGAGAATTTTTCAAAAATGAAAAGCTGATTGTCTTTAAATTGAATGAACACTGGCTGTGATCATGCAGTAATCTTACTTTGGGAATTGAGAAGAGGCAAAGGGGAGAAAAGGAATAAAAAAAGAACCAAAGATTGTATATACTTTTCTGTTTTTATTATGAACCAGGTCACATTTTTTTCAGATGCTTGAGACTTTAAAGAAGCAAATATAGAAATACAATTAAGAATACCTCCATATTTAAACCCTAATGTGACTTCCTTTCCCCACTTTTAGAGTTTCTAATTATAGAAAAAAACTACAATTAAAATTGTGGTTTGTTTTTAATTTAAAACATTTTTTTTTTAAATGTCTGCCCTGCCTTTGCAAAGTACTGAGTGACAGACATCACAGTTAAGTGTTAGGCTTAAAGGTGACAAGTTTTTCTTCCTAGGAAAAAGTTGAAATATTCAATGAAGACTTTACAAGCATAAAAGAGAACACAATGTTCATAAACAAAATCTTTTTAGCACCTGCAGAAATTTGGTAGTCTTATCTCTCAGCCTCTTCATTTTAGAGACTGAAGGCCAGTGATATTAAAAAAAAAAAAAAATTAAAGACCTACAGGATACAAAAGTTACTGATTAGTGGCACAGGTAGAATAACTCAGTTCCCCTCCCCTGCCACACACACCATTATGTTATGAACAAAGAACCATACAATCAAATATAAATCAGACAAGGAAACTCAGACCAACATATATTTCTCATGTTTATCTTAAACAGGAAACAACCAAAGCTTATGTATTATGTAGCTAACACCAAAATCTGTGTGTGTGTAAATTCATTGCTAGACAAATATTATTCCTGTGTCCTTCCGTACATCAAAAACAAAGAACCAGGGAATAGAAACAAATACTGTTGAACGATGATGCATGGAGAAGATTGTAATCATTGCAGTGAAACAAAATACCATAGGACGAGTGTAAAACTGATGTTTTTACACTGCACTAAACAGGTTAATAAACTTGAATGGTTGAGAGTAATTTTATTTTTTGCATTTATTGAGCTTCCCAAATAACTGGAATAGCGCTCTGGTCAGCTTTGCAAGGTTTACAAGTTATCAGATTCAGAGTTGCATTAATTATCACAAAGCATTTTCTAGTTGTTTCCTTGTTAAGTGCCATAGAATTGGTTTTGACTCAGTGACCCTGTAAAGTGTTGAAGAGCAAAGAAGTGTTTTAGGTCTGAGATAACACCGGATCCAAGCCATGCAGTTTTTAATAACCTCATATGAATTTGGACAGCAAATAAGCTAGACCATAATAGAATTGATGCATTTGAGTTATGGTGTTGGAGAATATTAAAAGTACCACGGATTGCCAAAAGAGCAAGCAAATCTATGTTTGAAGTACAACCAGAATGCTGCTTAGAAGCCAGAATGGACTGACTCTAATACTTCAGACATATTATCAGGAGTTACCAGTCCCTGGAGAAGTATATTTGGTAAAGTGGAGGGTCAGAGAAAAAGAATAAGACCCCCAATGAGATGGACTGGCACAGTGGCAGCATTAATGGGCTCAAATGACTATGAGGTTGGTGCAGGACTGGGCAGGGTTATAACCCTGTACAGGTTTCTGGGGCTGTGAATCTTTACAACAAGAGCAGACAGCCTCCTCTTTTCTCCTGAGGAGCACCCTGGTGGATTTGAACTACCAACAGATGGTTAGCAGTCCAGTGCATGTCCTATAGCACCAACAGGATTCCATAAATACTAGAGGGCTTTCAGTAAGTCCATGAAAACATATTATCTGTTTCATTTTCATGAACATTTTTGGAACACCCTTCCCCCTGCTGCTATAATAAGGAGAAAAGGGTTTATGTATATTGTAATCTTTAACAAACTCTCAAATATTTTCTTGCTAATCTAAGTTCTTTATTTTACCCTAGCCTTTTAAGCTCCTAGGAATTTTAGATGTTGAGAACATACCCTGTGCACGGGACTCAGTATTATATGGTTCATTAGGATCTGTTGTGGCTGGCCTTGGACATTTTTTATTAACTAGTAAGTACCGATTTTTTTTTTTTGCATGTAGTATGTGAATTTTTTCTAGATGGAATATCTGTAAATAAATCATGATGGCTATTAAGCAATGCTTATTTAACAGGTAGAATTAGAAGATCGTGTGATGTTGGAGTAGGAGGATTTATTTTGGTGACTTTAGGATACTGGTATGTAAACTAAATCTATATTTAATTATCCTAATAGATTCATCTAATTCCAAAGCATAAAATCTTTTCAGCATTCTCACTCACTCCCAGTAAATGATTATGTTTATAGTTTTATTTCACATACGTTGATTTTAATGAAAATGTAATTTTCACCCTATCATTTCCTCAATAGATCAATGATGTTCACTTCAAGAATTCTTATAATCTCTCACATGCAGTCTAAGAAAATGTCACTTTAATAGGTATACACACAAGATCAAAATTTGCATAGACACATTTATGTATTAGGATTATCAAACCATACAAATACACAAAATTCAAATGTTTATCTTAGTAGTCATGTGTAAGCATTCTAAAATTTGTTATTAAATTAAATTTCCATGGGAATATCAGTAATTCAATTTTCTTAAAGGTTCCATTGTAGGTATAATTATGCAAAGCTAAGAATCCAGGAAAGAATTACAAGAGAAGGAATTAAAAATAAGATTTTATATGAAAGCACCCACCTTGATCCTGAAAGAAAACATACCAACAGCAACAGCAGCAATTAAGCAGTTCTTGAGCAGAGAACCTCGAAATACAACTTCACTGAAATCAGTTTACAAAGGTGAAAGACTACACCAAACATTTTCTGTACAATTAAGAAAGCTTGTAACCCAGTAAAAAAAAAAAAAAAAAAAAAAAAGCATGTGTAAGTTGTCTTTATACATACTGTACTTGTGTAGTATTAACTCTGGTCCTCTATCTACTGCCAGTCAAGCGTTCTTTCTTTCTTCTGTGTTACACACAATGGACTTTTCACACTTCAAATATGAACAGAATTTATTGGTGGTATGTTAGAATAAAATATTTATAAAACCTGGTGTGGCGCTGTGGGCTATTGCTAGACTGCCAAGTCGGTTTGAACTGCAAAGTTGGTGGTTTGAGCTTACCAGTTGCTCCTTGGAAATCCTATAAACAGGGTCACTATGGGTTGGAACTGACTCCATGGTACTTAACAACAATAGTACTTCATTATTAGACAAGAGTGCCTTAGCATAAGTGTACATACAATGACAAACATTTCTCCCAGTTGGATTTTTCCTTAAAAATCACAATACCCTGGTTCAAATTAAGCAACTACTTCCCTGGTTTCTAAAACCAGTGCTGTTCTACACTTACAATGAATTTACTTTATTAAAAAATAATTCATTTGAAAATTGATAGTACTCTAAGACAGTCTAGAATTTTGACCTTTATTGCTGGTCCTATTTTTTCCAAGTATCAGGACAAGCCAAAGAAATGTCAACCAAAGGAAAGCATAGGGATGCTTTGCAACTGTAGTTAGAGTGCAAATTAATCATGCCCAGATAATTGCATTAAAAATTCCTTATGACACCCATATGTTAAGAAGTAGCATTGTGGGAAAAATAGATGCACACTAATTAACAAGTTGTGTGGTCAGGCCACTTACCCATTCAGCTCATATAAAATCAAACAGATGGATTTAGATCCCTTCCAGCTCTAGCAAATGCATATTATTCTTACCCTGAGTGAGATAAACCTCTCTTAGGTGATATTTCCAAGGCCTTCACTAGTTCAGTTTCAGTTTCTCAGCTGTTAACTCTATATTCAAACTGGAGACCTAAGTAAAAACAAAGTTTTAACATATTTCAATTGCTTTTTACTTTTAAAATTAAGTTAAAAATTTTCTCTTATATGATTAAATGGGACAAAATATATTTGTGAATTATTTTGATTACATACAAGCTCTTATAATTGCTACTGTACACCCCCCTTTACCTCTAAATGTGTCTTGATGTGGTCATTTACCTTCAGTCTCTTCAGTCCAACCTACTTCCCCCTCTGCCAACACGACTCTTGACACCTCAACTCATTCCTCAGCTAAAGTTTTATTAAATCATCACTCTATTAGAAATGCTTTTCCTGTATTTTCTATAGCTAGCTTTCCTCTCCCTTGATCAATACTCTGAGAATTATAATCACCTTCATATTTCGTTTTCTCATGCTATTTTTACTTTGTATTGACACCTTTTGGTAATCACTATTTAGACAAGTCCTTGTGGCAGGGACCTTATCTACATTTTTACCTTTGTATTCTTAACCAAGTGCTCACGACAATACTAAATGTCCATTAACAATTAACAGAGTCCAGTTTCCCCATGTTCCAAATTTTCATCATACTCTACAACTGAAATAGTAACCTACCTTTCATGTCATCAACTTGAAACTTCCAGCTGCACTTCCTTGTCTGTTCCATTATTCCACAATTTCAGACTAGGTGATACAGCATAACAGCTAAATAGCTGATTGAAATAGAATTGTGGCCATTAGTTTTAAAAACTGATTTTTTATTCTAGTACTTTATAAATACATTTCCCTCCTCCCTCACCCCTCCCTCCCTTCTCTTTTGGGTTTTGTAAACTGCTTCTTAAATCTCATTTAAAGTAGATCTTAGGGATTTTAAAATAACTAGCAGCATTTCTCTGGACTTATGATTTATCTTGAGTTTGGCACCAAATTGTGGACTATCCCTGGTACCACTTGATTTGCAAGCATCTCTTTAAGTCTACGTACCTCCACTCCATCGCTGGTTTCACTTTGCTTCGATTACATAATGCGAGGAGGTCTATATAATAAATTCAGGATTCCTGTTTATGCACTTTTCAGCAAAGAGCTAGGGATCAAGTAAGGTTTGAATCCTTCTAGTCCTAGATAAAAATCTGTAATGGGGGGAGGGGTGGTGGGTCAAGGGACCCTTTAGAAGTCATGTTAAGAACACTATTCGTTGGGTAAGCAGAAGACCTTAAGTAAAATTAGAACGATCAAATTTTCTAATTTTTAAGTCCTCTGGAATAAACGTTCTTGGACACATCTTAAAATAGTCCAGTGTTCATCAATCAGTATAATATACCAATACTGTCCTACCACCCAAATTGTTCCACTTTGAAATATTTGTTTTCCAAGTTGTTACAAATAATTTTTAATGCTATTCTGTGTTCTCCTTATTCTCCCATTTTCAAAGTCCTCCCTCAAGTATTGTTATCTTGAATAGACTACATTAATAGACAAATACTTAAAATTTACATTTTAAGGTCTATGTAAGTCTTTTCTACCTTTTGTCTATGGAATTAATTTCCTTTAAGTACTAAACAATCTGTTAGTGGCTTAAGAGTTTCCACAGAAATTATTTCTATACATGGATAATATACCATTTTCTACCGTTGTTTTCCTTGAATAAACAGAAATGGTTATTCTGAAACTTCTCAACAGTAATTTGCTATTCAAAACCACTGTATGATTATAGGGCCATTATTTCATTAAACAAACCCTGATGGCTATTCCAAAAGTTCAGATAGCGACATGTGGCATCAGCACCCAAAAAAACTTTTTTACCAAGAAACAATATTCTGAAGGCTTTAGTAGTAGAAAATGTAATGTTTCCATTTCTTACCATCTCAGGCAACAGATTAAGAGCTCACAAACCTTCCCATATCCTCAGTCTTAGGGAAAATACAACTGTGAATAACCAGTTGTACTGCTTCTTGGAAGGTTTTAACCCTTGGGTTTTAATTTCACTTGCTAGTTGACTCACTTTGCAATATGAATTACCACCACCTTCTCTACCTAAAATGTGTTTTCCAAATTGCAGTAAGCAAGCTAGTAAAAATGTTTAAGTATTTGTATGTGTATTCCTAATGGAAAAAAATTGGGAATCCTAGGACAAAAGATACCATAGATTCCTTTCCTTTCTCCATTTCCCCCTTTTAAAAGTAAAGGGAACTCTAACATGCTGGAAGCCTAATAAAACAATTAAGTGTACAAGCAGCAATTAATTTAGAATACCTATTGGAATCACAGGAACACATTTAGTTGGGCCCTTTTACTCTTCCACACAGCACATTCACATGGAAAGACTAAGGAAAAGGAGATGAAATTTAAATCAGCACATTTTTTTGCTTTATTTTTCAAAAAAATTAGTACACCAGAACTTTTTTCTTCACTTGACCATGACTGTCCCTTACTGACAGATACTAAAGGGAACCTCCTTTTAATAGCTACCTAAGTCACTCTATAGTCATTCAAATTAGTCCTACTTCTTCTGGAATGTCACCTACTATATATACTAACTTGTGGCAAGGACTGCAAAGTGTTTTTTTAAGACAAGATTAATTTTTTAATTCCTCCAAGATCACAGAATGGAACTGTGAAAAGGCATAAAGAACATGCAGTAGACTACAGCTATTTATCTAGATACTCTATTAGCTTGCTCCCTTATAATGCCTGCGTTAACACTAATATTCCTTGGTATGGTACAAGCAACAAACAAGGAACTGAACCTTTAAGGCACTGAGCTCTATTTGCCTATACTCATCACTTTCAACTATAGTAAGTTTCTTCCCCCACCCAAGATCCAGTTTTAAAAACCATTGCCTTGTCTCAGTCAAGGTACACTAATGTACATGGAAAGTAAAAAAATGGAATTTTTCCTATCTAGGCCAAAAAAAAAAAAAAAAGTCAAAACCTGTTAATTACGAATTAAAAGCACATGGTTAAATTACTTGTCTTAGTAATTCACCTAAGAGTGGTGGTTAACATATCCTGGGCCTACAAGTTATCCCTAATACCTACTCTTGCACTAAGCTTTCCTTGGACAATACATCTGCAACTTAATCCCACAATTTAGGAATTATATTTCCTATTTCTTGATTAGAATTGCATATACAAGGACTTCTAAGGGTAACTAATTAAACTCCTCCCATCAGTTTTAGTCAAAAGTGACTAGGTTAGACATAACAGGTTGAAAATTAGGTCTCCTTAAATTTTGGAGTGACTTGAGATCCTGAGGTAGGGTGTGCAGGTTTAAGAGGGACTCCGGGTTCTTGATCTTTTAACCCTGAATGAAGGGATATCTGTATTTCCTTAATATTCTAGCTTACTTTAAGATTCAAGGTTTTAAACAAAGGTTTGTAAAAAGTTAATGACAGTGGTCATTCCAATGTGAGCTCATATGACTCTTAATTCCTGTGGCTGTAGTAACATAGTACACTGGGGATAATTCAAAGAACCCTGGTAGAGTTACCTATTGGGCTACTAAATCACAGTATCAGCAGTTTGAATCCACCAAGTGGCACCTCAGGAGAAAAATGATTGTTGCTCTCCAGAGATTTACAGACTCCAAACCATATACAGGCTCGCTTTGAAGCAGAACCGTCTCCGTGGCAACCAACACATTAGTGACTGGTGGCCCTGTAGGATCAGCACTGGACTGTGAACCTCAAGGTCGGCAATTCAAACCCTACCAGTTCCTCCTTGGAAACCCTATACAGGGTCACTATGAGTCAGAACCGACTCAGTAGCATTTAGCAACCCCCAAATTATCTAAAGTAAAAAGCTCCCCACACCTTAATGAAGAAAAGCAGTTTTTAACCATTTTAGTCGTTTACACATGAATTTTGCAGACAATTGGCTTATTTACATTATTCATACAAGTAAAATGAGGTAGTTTTTAGGATAAACCTAACCAAAGCACTGACTTTTTTTACAATGGAACCTTGTATGTGGGCACTGTAGGATAATCATTAGACTGAAAGGTCAGTGGCTCAAACTCAACAGTCACTCCTTGGAAACCCTATATAGAGGGTCACCATGCTTTTGAAACCGAGTCAGCCTTCTCTCACTCACTCACTCACACACACACACACAGTGTTTGTCCTCTTTATGTACTGTTAAAAGCTTACACCCATTTTATCAAACTCAATATACCTCAACCTCAGAAATCTAGTTTAGGATCAAACATTTTCACTCAAGCTTTTCAGAAAGATTAAAATAATGATCTTACAGAAATACTGTGTTCATCTTTTGAGAGGAAGATTTTAATGAGTATTTGCGGGTTATAAAGCAGATTCTTTTCTGCTGAAATCCCATCCATTCTGGGGGTGGAGGGGAGGTAGGGGGATTCATGGAGTGTACAGTAAGAGAATTAGAAAAACTAGTTTTTAAGATATGGCTTTATATGTCCAACTAACGAAGATTTGTTGTTACTATGAAAGGTTAAAGAAGTATATAAAATGAGGCCTGGTGTGCGCCAGACTGAAAAGCCGTTTGAACTGCAAGGTTGCGGTTCAAGCTCACCAGCTGCTCCTCGGAAACCCTACACAGGGTCACTATGGGTCAGAACTGACTCAATGGCACTTAACAGCATCAGTATATTCCATAGTACTATATTCAATTTGTTCCGGTTGACTTTTCTTCAGTAGTCTTACTGATCTACAATCAAATCTTCTGACTTAGCTATACCACTGCTTGAGAAAAGCTATTAAAATTAGTGTCAGTTTTGTTTGTGCAATGGAACTCATTAGAGGTAATCCTATAATTTTTATTAATGAACAAGCTTTTGAATGCAGAACATGTCTGTGAATATAAAATCCCAAGACACATTACTTGCTTCTCCTTCCTAGTTTTTAAAAAATTCCTTTTAAGAAGCTTTAACAGCATGTTAATTAGTGTGTTCAAAACACCTAGATATTTTCAGATAGAATCTATCATAGGCAAGTAGGGTTTTTATAGGTTCAACACTGCTTTGTCATTTCAATGCTCAATTGAGTTGATCCATACCACCTTTCTTCTTAGCATCTGGGTATTAGGACCAAAAATATTGGTCATAACCTTCTAGGTCAAAGGTATCAATCTAAATTCTCCAGAATCTCAGCAAATTAACATGGTATATTAAGTTAGCATGGTATAACCTGTGACATGGCAATACAGAAAACTTCCCACATAATTCCTTTCTTTCTTGCAGCCTTTAAAGCTATAGCTTTCCTTCCAGAGTAGCTCCTTCATGCAGTTTTCATACTACTGTAGCAAACCATCACAATCCAATTTGAGAATGGCTGCTTTGATTAACTGCCAAACTTTCTAGTGAAAATACCCTTAATCCAACAGCAGCCTCTGGTGGTTTTTTGAGTTTCAAAAGTCACTTATTCAGACACTTTTTTAAAAAAAAATCTGATTTGTCACCTTTGCCACAAAGAATGTAAACTTTCATGTGTCAGGGTGGACCAAAATATCCAGGTTCTCATCCAGATCTTATTCTGCCAAAACAGGTTTTCTGTTTATGCCACATGTTCTCTTGATGTATTTTTTCCATTTTCTATTTCTATAAATATCCATTCTAATAGAGACCTTTCCTCAAAAATTACATCTTTTTCTGAAAATCAGTATGTATTATCACCTCCCAAAACATTCTGTAGTAGACAAGTATATTTCAAGTTATAAAAAATTAACTAGTGTCAAAATTGAGTGGTTTTTTCCTTCTCCTGTGACAGCCTATTATACAATCCTAACAATGTCCTAACAATGTATACTGAACAAAAGTAGCTCATACCAAATTAAATTGCTAAAAATCTAGACACAACTACCTTATCCTGTCTGAACTATTCTTGTGTTAATTATTGAACTAATCTTCACACTTCAGTTTTTCAACTGAACCACCATCTAAAATTACCCCCCACCTTGTAGCAAGAAAATTCCTGAGTATGAATTAAAAAGTAAAAAAAAATAAATAAATAAATTAAATGGTTAAAACAAAAATCTAAGCAATTAGAAACAGCAAACCTAAACTTACCAAAAGCAACCTAGACCCCCAAAAAAAAAAAAAAAAAAACCTACATTGAAGTCAAATTTTAGTTCTACAGTTTGACTCCTGATTCCTCACGTTAGTGAGGGGCCTTTAGATTAAGTGTTCTGTGCAAACCCAATAGAATTACAATTAGGGGATCTGATGTTATTACATAACAGCTACAGTTAAGTTAGCAGTGTTGTGTAGTAGTGAAATTAAACTGGCTTCTAAAAGCATCTATTCCCATAGTTTCATGTATTTCACATATATGAGGACAGCCATCATTAAGCAGTTGGTAAAGATGATAAACTTGAGTGTTAACTTCTCCCAGTCAGTACCTTTTCCCCTCATTAAATGTTAAGTCATCTGGGGGCAGGGGGGAAGGGGAAGAATAACTAATTCATAATTAAAATCAGTAAGTATATACATTTAAGTTTTTAAAAACCTAAATGTTCCATGTACAAAGTAAAGAATAAGCTGTCCAGAATACACACACTTTTAATTTCTCCTCTTGGGAGTTTTAAAGGGATTTTGAACCTTGATGGCGAGAATCCCAAAACAAGAGTAAAATGAATTCAGTTTATTGCAAACAAACGGCTAAATTAATTTCTCCACCCACTTTCTTTAGAAAGAAAAAGAAATCAGCAGGCTAAGGAGATACCCATTCGAGAACTGACATGATTAAAAATTTATAAATGGGTGACTCACAATTTCATTAGCTTACAAAGATGGTGGAGTTAACTACTACAAGCACACTAGTTATACAATATTTTGTGGGAGAAGGGCATACAGACATAGCTAACTTCATATAGATCCCATTAGACAACTGGATTTACAACAAGATTTTTTTTAATAAGAAATGGGCAAAGCCAGCTTTCTTTTCAGAATCAAAATGCAGAACAAATGGAAAAATTATGGTATTAACCTTCACAAGTTTGAACCTCCACAAGTAATGCAACCAAGTTTTACATTTTTAACAGCCCTTCTACATACACTCCATCTTCTCTATCTCGGTTCTAAGTTTTATCTTCAGTCCCAGTTATGCCAATTCCATTGCTCCTTTAGAAGTGTCTTCCAGATTCTGTCAGTCAACTATTGTTTAGCTTGACCCCTTCCAAATGACCCACCAAACTACAGAGAGGATGGAGTGTAATATGAGCAGTACAGAGTCTTGTGAAATTCATGAGGACCACTTAGTCCGTCCATGAATCTGGTTGCTAACATTTCTATTATAATGTGACAATGACTCCCGACTGTTAATTCTCTGTGAGAAATGGGGGGAGTAAATTCTTAATAAAAGACACCAGGTACAAAGCAACATTTTACTTTTGTTGTGATAAAAAAAAAAAAGTCACATTTTACAGATAAAATGTAGAACCCTGAAATACTGACACATTCTCTTATCGTGCACAATGCTGAGGTTCTCTTACGATTCACTTTAAAACTGCAATTAAAAATGTACAAAAAAGAAAAGAAAAAAAAAAAAAAAATCAACCCACAAAGCTTCCTAAGAAGTTACTCATTCCTGTATTCCATTTTCCGAGATTCTGATTTAATTTATTGTAGGTGCAGTATGGAAATTAAAAATTTAAAAAAAAAAAA